TGCAATTGTGGGTTCAGGGTGTGTTATAGTGTTTGGGGTTCTTCGGATGACCGCTGTGGATAGCGGTAGGGCAAGTGAGTAGGGGCAAAGAATCTCTACTTGAGAACTCAATATCGAAACTGTATCATATAACGTTCTAGATAACCCACTGAAAATACATCACAAACAGTCCTCCTGGGTCTATGAGTGGCCCGGTAAAGCGCAAATGCCCTGATGGCCAAACTGAAAATGACACCGAGCCCAGCCCTCATAACCCGGGTAAAATCATAAGATAACAGAATGGGAAATAGGAAGAAGCTGCTTGAAGAAACTACAAAGGACAAGCAACGCCGATACGCATGTCAGAAAAAAACAAGAACACCATAGCAATTCATCCCTAGCCCACGCCTGAATAAAACAATCAATCGCTAACAAGCAGGAAATAGGAACAGATGGGTAACCCATATTGCATGAAAAAAAAGAATAGATCCAAAACATCATTCAACAAGAGGCTTCAATGCTTCAACTCCTGTTTGGAGGACCGCGGTATTCCTCGATGTTTTCAGCACATTGGTCAGTATATCAACCGCACCGCCCTGCTTCAGAGCTTCTTTGGCGCGCCGGCCAATATCACCTGATGCGATGCAGCTCATGTTCCGCACGCATGCCACCCCTCGGTGCAACAACCCCTCATCATCTTCCTGGCAAAGACGAAGCAAGAGCGATACACCACGAGGCTTATCCAAGACGGCAGCGACGACGGAATCAAATTCAGTAAGCATAGCTAGACCTCCTCCAGCGGCTCTTCGGGTTGCGATATCATCCGCGTCAGTAAGGGCTAGCAAGATATGCAGGCGCTGCGCTGCCCGTTTAGAGCCGTCCGCAAATTTCACTATCCCAGCCTCACAAGTCATCAGGTTACACACTAACTCACATGCAGCCCGTTGGATCAAAGGACTGTTGGAAAGCAGCAGGTCCTCGATCACTGACCATGCCTGTCGGACAATGGCATCCGGCGCACTCTCATCCGGATGCGAAGCGAGATTCGTGAGCGCAAGAAGGCTTTCAAAAATGGGCAAAAGATCGCGTGGCTGATCCGCCGAAGTCTCAGGGGCCACCAGGAGCGCAGTTAAGGGTCGGATAGCCGAAGTGACCTGCGGAAATCCAGATGGAGGGAAAACGTGTGACGGATTCACGGAGATAAGAATGCGGGCCAATGCGTGGGAGGCATTAGGCACAGCTTCGTTTGCAATCGAACCAGAGCTCCCCTGTCTCGAGGTGCCGATATTGAGCAATAGCTTGACACCGCCCTGCTGGGCTAGGGTTCCTCTGGTTTTCTGATTCCGGGACAGTGAAAGCATGATCTTGCTTATAAGGCCCTGGATGGAAGGGAGACTTGTTTTGCTGCACTCAATAAAAAGCGGCATGATACCAGCTTCAATGACGGCATTGCAACGAGCGATAACGCTTTCATCCTTCTCAAGGGGATTTGGGCCCGCCCGGGCATCGGGAGAGGCCTCTGCATACGACTTGAGTTGTGACATCTTCTTTTGTTCTTCACTCAAATTCGGAAGGAACTGGGTGATGTTCACGATTATCATTAGACCACCATAGAGAACCGACGAATCGCTCAAGTTCTCATACAAAACCTTGATCAGGTCCCGCAGAAAAGTCGAGTCTTTGGCAAGCTGTTCCTTCACAATCGGCTTCACAGATGAGTATGCTAAGCCCTCGATTACGTTTTGAACATTCTCACCCTTGCGACTCGACATAATGGTCTTAAACCGCCCGACCAACTCAGCAACGCTCGCATCGTCACCCTGCACCTGACCATTAGACCGCGTTGCTTCCTTGTCAGAAACGCGTATCTTAGCCAATACCACCGCTGCCAATTCGGACGACTCATCGCTGCCGTTAGTCAGGGTGTGAGAAAGCCAATCGGAGAAATTCTTGGCGATGGCTTCGCGACAGGCCTTGTTAATACAAGCAGCGTTCAGTAGTTCCAACACTGAAACCTCCACTCTCCGGCGCTTGGCATCTCTAGCAGATACGGGAGCTAGGGAAGCCATGAATCCTTCCGATAAGAACAGAGTAGCCGCAATCTCGGGGATTACAGGAAAAACCGCGGCGGTAGCCGAAAACGCGATGATATGGTCATCAACGCGCGCCTTGGTAAGTTTGGCAGAGATGAGCTTGGTGAATCGGTTCTGTCCGATTTCCTTGGAGGCTTCAAGATACTTGATGGTCGCTAAAGTAGCTTGACTCCTCCACTCAAGGGGCAGCCGATGATCCAAAGAGGACACGATTACATCCAATTCTTCATCATCAATTTGGTCCTGCAACTTAGACGCATCGACAGCAAGGAGTCGTGCGATTCCCTTCAGAGAGCGACCGTCCAAGTCATGGCCTGACTCCATGAGCTTGGCGATGAACAGCAGGAAAAGCTCGCGCTCACAATGCAAGCGATCAGCTTCGGAAGGCCATACTGAAGGATCCAAGACGACGGTATCGAGACATACCGCAGCGCCGTCGCCTCTATCGTACATCTCATCAAAGAACGTGGTCACGGAAATCTGCAGCTTGTCTGAGAAAAACTGACGAACGCTGGCATTTTGCCGAACCAACCCTGAAATGATATCATCCTGCAACGAAGATAACGCATGTGCCTTGTGTGCTAGCAAAAGTTTGGCACATTCTAGGGCGACCTCCTCCGGAGGTTTGAGCCCATCCGTGCGCAGATAAAGGGCGGCATCCTTTCCAGCACTTTCGTCTTTGCGAGAAGTGTAACGGCGGCAGAGATCGAGCAAGTGGTGACCAGTTGCCTCCTCTTCCTGGATTTTAATAAAAGCTTCTTTGACAGCTGGATTGTCCGGGGCTAAAGAGAGCGCTTCTCGGAGATTCCGCGAGGCAGCCTGTGATCGGGTTGAAAAAGATATACGTTAGCGGATTATCGATAAGACTCCACACAAAGTATTGACCATGCGGGACAAGGGGCGAAACGTGGAGAGCTTTAGAAAGCCAGAGAAAACCAAAGAAGCCGAGGAAAGTGACATGACGAGATGAGGTAAGGACAACACATACTTCACGATGACCAGCGTCTACTAATTCAATCGCCTCCCGTGTGAGGTGTACAGCGCGTTCCTCGCCCGTAGAGTGAACCATTTCAGGTCAGAATGTGGCGGGAGAGTAAAAGCGCGAAGGAAAGAAAGTCGGTATTTGGTGAGCGTAAGACGGAGGAAATAATAAAAGCGATCAGCAATAAGGAGAAGAACAAGAAGAAGAAGAACGGAAGCTGTCAAGGTAATTTATGATTGCGGAGACAGCAAGACGTAATCAAGTCCAGTTCGTACTGTGTAGATAGAGGCACTAAGTAAGTCAACCCACGACCTTCAGAGCGATGGTCGAGCGACGAATCACACATGCAGTCATGGAGATAGAGTAAGGGAGAAAAGAAAATTCGAGGCGGGTGCAGACGTTCGTTGACAAGAATAGAAATAATCAGATCTCACAGGTGGAAGGGAGGAGAGCAAAGTGTGTGGGAGTGTAATTTCTTTTTCCTCCTTGTGTGGAGTAAGTGTATGAATGATTGATAGACTAGTTTTTTAGTATGGGAACCCTTTTTTGCCTCGCAAGATGCATCATACTCCGGAGTACACCTGAAGGAATGATGGGCCCCGGCCGTTTGGTACGCGGTCTTACAGGTGATCGGAGTGCCAAATGGTTGGCCGGAGTATGGGTAATGACCGGTATACTGTTGAAGTGTCTCTGTAAGATCCCGAGTATCGGTGATGCATCGACTGCGATGATCCTGTAACGGTACGGTCATGCAGGATCGAGACCCCATTGAAGAGGGCTCGGCGCTCCCCTTCGGGCCTCCACCGGACGCCTTGCTAACTCCGAGGCTTATGATAAGGCGAGTTTTCTAGAAGCATTACTGCTCCCCCCCTCTTCGCTACCAAGACAAGGGTTGTCTCAACAGTCCTCGGACCTCTCAAGATACATATAACGAAACCTACTTAAAGACAGTCGATATAACTTACCGCGTGGTCCGCTGTGCGAATTCAAACGCGACCCCCCCCTTCCGCCTTCCAAGTGCATCCAAAATACCCAATCAAGACTCTCCGATTCGGTAAAATTACCAGATCAACTGATATCGGATCGATTGGAAGGACGAACCAAGACGTTGTTTGAAGAACCAAGCAATACTCTACAGGTAATCAAAACATCTAATCAGAACCACATCCATCCCATGCACCGATAACAACCACAACCTTCTCGGATCAACGTCACCAACCATAGCGGACCACCAACCCACGTTGCCAATAACTCAACAATCCCACGGCGTCAGCATACCAAGACTTCCAAGACCCCTTCTTTTGCATGTTTCGTCACACTATTGATTTCCTGCTGCTCAACCACACCCTTGATCTGCACCCCCTCCCCCTTTCTCCTTGGAGCGAGATGTACAAAGCACAGCTGTCCCGTAGGTGCAGGTGTAACTAACTGCATCCAGTGTACTCCGTGTCGGGTTCGCTTTATCCATGCGCGCCCTGCCCACGGTTTGCCTTCCGTTTGGCCCAAGCTCGGTTCACCTGACTCAACTCTTTGGCGCCTATCGGTAGCACAGGAGGCTGAGTTAGTATCAATCACCACCAAGAGTACTCATTGATCATAGCTTGGGAAAGTTGAGGTGGACGCATGCATGTCCGGATATACACAGCTCCCCCCCCCCTCCAAAACTTTGACCGTTGGGTTGTCCAGTGATTTTCATTGAGAACAAGTCATGATTAGGATACAAAAGTATATTTGATCAATGAAGAAACGCAGTTGGTGGAGGTATTGATACCCAAAACATCCTACTACTCAAAAAAAACAAAAAAAAAAAAAAAAAACTGTCCTTGCCCTATCTCCTGCACATCGCTGTTCTTCTCCATATACCTGTTTGCGACACGACGTCATCCGCACATGACTGATGATGGAATCCGCACGGTCTGATTGTACTATAACCATAATCCCCTGTTTCACATCAGGCATCCCTCCTTGATGCTCGAGTGCAGTTCACTCATCCCCACCTTCACACGGCGCATCCCACTACGGCCGCTGCTTTTCCGCTGTTGCGGCTTACTGTCGGCGCTAGGAGAACCGCCTCGGGCACCGCTCATAACAGGAGCGATGAACTCTGGAGCCGGGGGTTCCATGTGGCCCTCAAGGGCGAAGACTTCGACCATCCACTCGTACCAGACTTTCCGGTCATCCGTTTGCCTATACATCGTTACGACCACCTCACCATTATCGGGAACATTAAGAGGAGTCTAGATTATCATTAGCGTTCCCCGGTCCCTCTACTTCGGAAGCGGTGACTAATGAAGGGAAATGCAATTGCTTACCTTGAGGGGGAAGTAGATTGGAAACCAGCTGATCATATTGGCACTCTTGCTGTCCATGGTAACGGGATTGGTCGAAAGTTCAACATCCCGGTACAAGACGGTCTCAAAGTAACCAGCTAAACCGTGGCATACTCCACGGTTCTGCGTAGGAAAAGCCAAGCGCGTCCGGCGCACATTGTGTGCATTGGAAATTGTCGATGTGGAAGGAGACTGTGAAGGGATATGCCTATTAGGGTGGGAGAAGGACCATGCAGTCTGTACAAATGGAGCCGGAGTTTCGCTTCCAGGTAGTGTCGATATGGAGGACCGCACGTTGCTGTGGTAGCTGCTGCCGCCAGTGGTATTACCCGGCATGGTAGGCTGGCTCGTAGAGAGAAAGTCGACAGCGTGCAGCATCACCACGTACGGAGTTTCTGGAGCTGCAGGGTTGGAAATTGTTTGATGCATAACATCAGCATGAAGCTTCGGAGCTGAAATAGGCGTGAAGTGGGCCGTATATGATTCAGGAATAGATATGCCATGAACCGGATTGATTAGATGAGTGATGCCGTCTAGACATTCAGGGGAAAGCTCATTGTCGCCGAACGAACCAAGTAGCTCGGAAACCACGATATCAACTGTAGTAGGCATAAGCTCGGGAGCGGGGCTACGGGATGCCGCATCGGAAGCTTGTGTTTTGTTATTGGGGTCGGTCTCCGCATCGTGAAGCATTGCATCATCTATCCCGAGAGACTGGCCCACCGGTGCTGAGGTTTGTGGGCTCGAGAGCTTCTTCTCAACTCGAGGTCCTTTCCAACTTCTCATGTCCGACTGAACAAGGGTGACTTTTCCTCCCCAAATAGTAGCATTGTGGCGTTGGAGGAGAACGAAGGCATTAGGGTTCTTTTCCACAGCCCACATGTCAATCTCAACGCCTGTTTCAGCGCTCGCTTTAAGTGCTCGGGTAACTAGCGGTCCTCTACCGGCGCCTACCACAGCGACAACAACTCGGCCATCTGGGTTCGAGGTGGGCTTTTTCTGCTCTGCCCAGTCCTTCAAGGCTTTTGCAATAGCGCGCTCATACCATTCATACTTAATGGGGTCTTTCTCAAAGACCTCATATGTGATACTTTCCAAGTTGACTGTCAGTGGCTGCAGCGGTGCCTGCAGATAGTCCTGATAGCCTACGCCGAACCTCTCGATAGCAGTTCGAGCTGGCTGCCGCTGCTGGAGATTTCTAATGTATGAAAGATGGGGTGTGGGGTCATAATGTTTCTTGTTGGAAACTGCTGCTTGTGCGAGACTCGGGTATTCAGCGCCCTCGAGGTTGGTGGCATGAGAATTGTCAGCGTCCACACCGGGAAGAGTGCCAACATCGCACAGAAGAATCCATGGTGGGCTTCTAAGACGCATAAAACGAGCGATCAAAGATTGATGGGCTTTGGATAAAACGGGGTAACCCTTTTGGTTTTTGATGAAAGAGTCGGCATTGAATGCAAGCAGGCGAACCGGCTCTGAGTGCCATCGAGATTGGACAGACATTGAAGGGAGGTGCTTCTGTAATGAGAGCGCTAGCGAAACTGATTTAGCAACAAACACGCAGAGTCTATATCCCAACTGATAGGGACGGAACCCCAAGGGTAGCCTGTGGAATGGCGGGCGATGTATTCTTACCTACGAAAAGCCTTGAGTGATATTTACAGGTTCTCCTGATAGTGTCCCAAGCCTCCCAAGTTCCATATGGGTCCTCTTTCGGCAATTGTCCTTCTTCCAAGTTTACAAGGAATTCTTCCCGGGCAAGGGGAGCTAGGTCGCCCATCTCGTCGACCTCGAGATCCGGGCTATCAACTGCTCCCAGCCAGATATTGAATTGGATATAAGGGCCAACACTGATGGCATCCTGTATCGCTCTTGCGTAATAAACTACGCCTTCTGAGTGCATTCCCTTGTGGTGAAGTTTAGGGCCCGGGATCAGAAGGTATCCGATACCACAAAAGGCTGCATAAGCGACCTCTAACATGAGGACCTGGCGGGATATATCTGCAATCAATGGATCCGGAGAACAGAGATCGATCCATGAGCTTGTCACGCCCACAACCTGGGTCATTGCTTCGTTAGGAGTCAAATGGGTATCCGAAGGTGCCAACGGCGGAATGACCAGGGGTCGGGTATTTTGCGTTGTGGCCATAGTTCCATGAACATCAGGAGAAGCTGCCTGTATATTGGACAAGTGTGAAGAGAGCAGACTAAGGACCCGGGAATGGAAATGAGATGTGGTTATAGGGGCGGTAAGCATATCATACTGAACGAGAGTAGATGTTAGCACGCAGAACGGGGGATCAGAATTCTGCTATCCATACATTGCTTTCATGAGCTGCCTGCACGACCTGGGTCGTAATCGGCACTGTGCGTTTGCTCTCATGTTGTCCAATGCAGAAGCCAGGACCCATATCCTCTGGGTTGCTGAAGCCTTCCATGTTAGTAAACAGAAAGAGCTTTTCCAAGGTCACAATTAAAATTCCTCTTTAAATTGCATAAAATAATATGTCACAGTATGCTCAAGGCGTCGAATCCGTTTCTGCGTAAGATACGAGAGATTGAAATCAATTATAAATTTTGGAGAGAGATTATTCTTGACACGGTATCTGTGTGGAGGATTAGTCCCGCATAACAGGCCAATTGAACATGGGTCCAAGATGAGTTCTGAAAACCATTCCGGAAGGATCCTGAGGAGAAAAGAAGAGACAATAGTAATACCCGGACTAGTGAGTGTCATTCGCCCCTCACCGAAAGTTTAAAGAAATCGACCCTACCCTGTCTTAACCCTGAGTCGCGATCCAATCCATCCCATCATTCAGTCCCTTGCCTGTTCGTGGGGTCAAAGTGGCGGCAGAATACAAAGGCGGTGAGCATAACAATGGAGACGGAGCAGCTGTGGCGATGTGCGGCCGACTTGCCTTATCAGGAATACTTTTTTTTCAATCCGTCAATAAAGTTGTCTTGCGGAGCCGAGTACTTGAGACTCAACTGCACGAACAGCTTCTGACCCCCCGTCCTTCTTTTACCCCTCACACGCCATGGTTGATCACCGCTCTGACTCCGAAGAAGGTTCGCGTGCTAAGCGTCAAAAGATGGATAAAACTGGCACGGATCCCAAGGACAATCCGTACCTGGCTCATATGTATGCGGACACTTCGTCGAACGGCAACGAATGGGTTGAAGATAAGGATTCGCCATTTGCCAAAGTGAAGAGACATCAGTCGACTGCCGCTCAGGCACAGAAGATCGAAGATGGAGACATCAACCCTTTCAGCGGCCAGCCATACTCCAGCAAATATTTCTCGATTTTAAAAACTCGGCGCGATCTTCCTGTTCATGCGCAGAGGTAAGTACAAACATTCTCTTCCGTTGATCGCGATTATATACAAGAGCGCAGCCTCTAATATTCATGTGCAAAGAGATGAGTTCCTTCAACTCTACCAGAAGTCCCAGATCCTAGTCTTTGTCGGTGAGACTGGTTCCGGTAAAACCACCCAGATTCCTCAGTTCGTCCTGTTCGATGATCAGCCACAAAGCCAGCGCAAGATGGTCGCCTGTACCCAGCCTCGACGTGTGGCTGCTATGTCAGTAGCGCAGCGTGTGGCTGCTGAGTTGGATGTCAAACTTGGAGAGGAAGTTGGTTACAGCATCCGTTTCGAAGATATGACGAGCCCCAAGACATGTCTTAAGTACATGACGGATGGTATGCTGTTGAGAGAAGCCATGCACGATCATAACCTTAACCGTTACAGCACTATTATTCTGGACGAGGCCCACGAAAGAACCATGGCCACTGATGTTCTCATGGGTCTTCTCAAAGAAGTCGTAGAACGTCGACCAGATTTGAAGATCATTATCATGTCTGCCACCCTGGATGCCCAAAAGTTCCAGCGCTACTTCAACGATGCTCCTCTTCTTGCAGTTCCCGGTCGTACTCACCCAGTCGAGATTTTCTATACTCCTGAGCCTGAGCAGGACTATGTGGAGGCCGCCATTCGCACTGTCTTGCAAATCCATGCTACAGAGGATGATGGTGATATACTTCTGTTCTTGACTGGTGAAGAAGAGATTGAGGATGCTGCGCGCAAAATTTCACTAGAGGCAGATGAGATGGTGAGAGAAGTCGACGCTGGCCCCTTGAAAGTCTACACTCTGTACGGTAGTCTTCCTCCGCATATGCAACAACGCATCTTCGACCCGGCTCCACCACCGCGTCGTCCTGGAGGTCGTGCCGGTAGAAAGGTCATTGTTTCCACCAACATTGCCGAAACCTCGCTCACAATCGATGGTATCGTTTACGTCGTGGATCCTGGCTTCTCGAAGCAGAAAATTTACAACCCTCGCATCCGTGTCGAGTCCCTCCTAGTATCGCCCATCTCCAAAGCCTCTGCACAGCAAAGAGCCGGTCGTGCAGGTCGTACTCGTCCTGGAAAGTGCTTCCGTCTTTACACCGAGGGTGCTTTTAAGAAGGAACTGATTGACCAGACGTATCCGGAAATTTTGCGGTCCAACCTTTCATCAACTGTGTTAGAACTGAAGAAGCTTGGAATTGATGACCTTGTTCACTTCGACTTGATGGACCCCCCGGCTCCGGAAACGCTTATGAGAGCTCTTGAAGAGCTTAATTATTTAGCTTGTCTTGATGACGATGGCAACCTAACCCAACTTGGGCGTCTTGCCTCGGAGTTTCCTCTTGATCCTGCGGTTGCGGTTATGCTGATCAGCTCGCCCGAGTTCTATTGTTCAAATGAAATCCTGTCTATCACAGCCTTGCTTTCAGTTCCTCAGGTGTTCGTGAGACCTGCATCTCAACGAAAGCGGGCGGATGAGATGAAAAACCTCTTTTCCCACCCCGACGGTGACCATCTTACTCTCCTTAACGTCTACCATGCTTTCAAGGGCCAGGATGCGCAAGAGAACCCCAAGCAGTGGTGCCATGACCATTTCCTTTCCCTACGATCCCTCCAGTCGGCAGATAATGTGCGCATGCAGCTCCTGCGGATCATGGAGCGCGAGGAGCTGGAAATGGTTTCAACGCCATTTGAGGACAAGAAGTACTATGAAAACATCCGACGCGCTCTCTGTGCCGGATTCTTCATGCAGGTTGCGAAGAAGGAATCCCAAGGCAAGAGCAAATACACGACTATTAAGGACAATCAGAACGTCCTCTTGCACCCGTCGACTGTTCTAAGCTATGACGCTGATTGGGTTGTGTACAATGAATTCGTGCTCACGACCAAGAACTACATCAGAACTGTCACAGCAGTCAAGCCTGAGTGGCTCATTGTAAGCTCACTTCTCCCCACCACAATACATCTTTAGCTAATGGTCTTTGCAGGATATCGCACCTACCTATTATGATATCACGACCTTCCCCAAGGGCGAAATTCGCTCCGCATTGCTCCGTGCCGCAGAAAGGCTATCTCGTAAAGAGAAAATGCGTGGCGATTCCAGTCGGAGGCGTTAAATCACTGTCCATTTTTTGTTTATAGATTTGTTATCATTTTAACATCCTATGCTATCTTTTGTTACTGGGGCGTTGCCCTAAAGAGATGCATCCTCTCCGTCTCTGAATCACCAGGACATTGAGTTACGTGGCTCTGATGCGAAGCTTGACCCACTTTCTATTCCGATGGGATGCAGTTAGACTTGAGACTACCCACAATGTCCTTAATAGTATAGAAAGGACAATTGCCGACATTTTTATGAGATTAAAAGAATGAATGAATTCTTCGGGCACAAAAAACCTTAATAGAAGCCATAATTCATACAGTCTACCTGCGTAAGGTAAGAGGCTATAAAAGAGGTCCAGACCAAACAAGTCCGAAGATGAAAAATTCTAGTTTTCGTCGTAATAATGTACAAACCTTGGAGGTATCAACATATATAGCAGAGGATATGAGAATAGAGACCAAACGTACGCCCTTCAATAAACACCTATGATGTACACAGTTTCCAACCCGATCCCTCTATGAACACAGTGCGCCAGGTGGACATTGGGAGGATATCACTCGTAGAGAGTTAGTTTAGTTTCCAACGTAACGAATGTTTGCCGCGCTTGGCTCGAGCACGCGTGAGTTCGTATGACGAAGCTTGTCCTTTAATTGTCCAAGATCCTGGGGACTGGGCTGGGAATGGCCGAGTGCGGATTGTTTTGTCAAGTCAAAAACCATTCGTTTCAGCTGCGTAACCTGGTCCTTCAGAGCGAGGATCTCTTTTTGGTGAGCCTTTGCTGTAGTTTCAGCATTGTAGAATCTGTTGTTCTCCACGTCGATGGTTTTCAGCAGGTTTTGCTGCCCGTCCTCTTCGGGTTTCTTATACTCGGCGACGCGGCCAGCGAGCACAGCTGATAGAACTTCCTGGGAGTATGTCCCCACCAGCTTATGCCATTTCCTCGCAGAGTCTTCCTCCTCGGGCAGGGTAAGGTCGTTCAGCTGTTCTCCGACCGTGTTTACGAAGGCATAAGATCTCTCCCACAGCGGCTGGTCCTTGATTGCTCCTATAGTTGACGAATCCGCAGCTACGTGCCATCGGCGGAAGTGGGGATCAAATGAGAAGGTGATGTCTGTTTGTTTCTGTGCAGACCTCCAGTCAAATCCATTTTCGACCGCGGCTACGATAATGGCTTCGGAGACATCGTATCTGCCGCACGTATCACACAGATGTACCATCAATACTACCAACCTCTCGAGAGAGTATGACTTGTGTTCTGTAGATGATGCCATGAAAGCCAAAGATCTTTTGATAGTTTCCACCCCTTTCTTCCAATCACGGCGAATACCGTAAAATTTCAGATAGGCGAAAAGAGTTGAAAAATCGTCCATGTACCCTGCCGCTCTTGCGGCATGCTGATAGGCATTGGCTCGGTCGGGTTGATTGAAGCGCAAGCAAGCTATGATTAGTGCAGAGTACATAATCGAATTGGTCATATTGCTGGGAGGAATTGAGATCTCGACGCCATGGACCACTGTCCGCTTAAAATATCCCATGGTGGACATGTCTACCGGGTAGCTATCACCACACAGCATTTCCAGAAACAAGTCGAATGCTTTGAGATTTTTGGATTTGCGGTAAAAGGTTATTGTTGAGAGAATAAAAGCGGAGCTTAATGGAAACTTGTTCGGCAATACTGTCTTTAAGACCAGATCACCTAGGTCATTTTGATGACATTTGGTGAACGTGTAAAGCATGACTCCCAGGGCATACGGTCGGTCGGGATCAGTAGCTTGCAGCAGGTTGCTGGACAACCTCAAAAGAAGCTCTTGAAGAGACATAGCTCCTTCGAGGTAGAGATCTGTGTCGCGGCGAACCTGTTGGTCGAGTTTTATATTCTCTCCAACCATCTCCTTGATGTTGCGGACACGGAGATCCTGTGCCAAATCATCAATATTCACCTCTCTCTTTGTCTTCAACTCCTGTAACCGAAGTCGGATTTGATTCAATTCATGTAGGAGCTCCGCTACATTCAACTTGGGCACCAAACTATCGGAAATATAGTTCATCCGAAGTCCCATGTAAGAGTGCGCAATCACCGGACGTAGCAAAAGTCGTATGGCCAACTGTTTCACTGCAAGCTTCCGTATAGCCTTTTGGCGGACTATGTCGTATGATAGCCACTCGGGAAACGTGTCATCTCCAAGAGTGAAGCCATACTCCTCGTTTGATTCGTTCGACACCGGGTCATCACTATCCGCGACCAGATCCTCAAGGACTTTCCTGTCATATTCATCTACCTTATCGAGAATAGTTTCAATCCCGTCCTCAAGTCGAGTCTCATAATTATCTTGCGGGCGGACGCCGGCGGCGAGTGAAGGTGTCGATATACTCCTTGTCGTATTTCGGATTTCCCCTGGTGATGATCTGGCAAAGGTGCTGTATTGTCGGCTTGTCAATACACCATTGAATAATGACCTCCGCTTCCGTCGTGCTAAAATAGTTGCCAGAAGGCGTTGTTCCTCGTCCACTAATTCGTTGACTTCTTCCTTCACAGCTGCGATCTTCTCCTGCCATTCATGGCGTCGTTGATCTTTGGCTTGGGCATCAGCTAAAGCTGCCGCCGCAAAGATACTTGTGTATAGAGCTGTGACCGAGTTTCCAATTCGTAACCGTCTTTTACTGGCTGCTGATGCCGCCCTTGACGTTAGTCCGGGAGTCGCTGTGCTTAGACAAGAAACGCAATGACAACTCGAGCGCGCCGAGGCGGCCCGGGACCAAAGGCTTTGCATTACCGCAACATTTCCTGTAAGGTCGATTCCAATGATAAGAATGGCGATACTCGAAGGTCGGCAGCTTGCCCTTAGGGGCTCAATTGCGTCTGTCGGGATAAGGGAGTGTGTACCGCAGAAACAAAAAAGTGGTCCATGTGCCGTCGGACAAAAAGTCGTAAGTTTCGGCGAAGCGGATGCAAACACTGCAAACAGTCTATCAACTGAACGGCCAGTTCGTTCTCCGAACTGGAATCCAGGTGTTAGCACTCAAAGAAAAGGCCACATCAACAGGGTTTAAATTACTCGTTACTGCTTGCATACTAAATCAATTTTGATAGTTTCCCTCACTACGCAATTTCGAGGTTGTGTCAGTTTAAAATGCTCGGCCGCTCCGTGTCTCTTGCTACCGTTCTGCTTGCCCTGAGCGGCAGTTTCGCGAACGCCCATGGGTCTCACTCGAATGAGCAGAACCCTTCTTCGGACTGGGCTACTCGGCACATGCAAGGTGCGTTACTGAGTCCAATTGCTCCTGAGGAAGTTTGGAGAACCTTTCTAATATCCGTACATGACAGAGGAGCACCACATTGATTCCTTTGATCCTGCATCCTTCTTTACTTTCCACGACTATGATAACTCAGGGGCATGGACAGCCGATGAAGTACGGAAGACTTATGGTCTCGACGATGAGTCAAATGCAGGTGTGAGTGAAGAGCGCAAGCAACAGGCTGTCCGGGAAGTATTTGGGCTATTTGACCCTGGGAACACTGGATTCGTTACTCGAGATAACTGGATGCGTCTAATTTCCGAGGGCAAGCGTCTGCCTGATTTCGGATTTGGACCTGGTCACCATGGCGACATCGAATATGAATATGAGATTCACCATTTTGAGAAATATCATGGAGATGATGCCAAGGAGGAAGACCTCACTCACCCAGAGGATATTGAGCATTTCCGGAGGCATGACGAGGAAGATGACGCTGCTTATCGGCTTGAGCAGCTTGAGAGGATGCAGATCGTGGAAAAGAACATACCACAGAAGTTCCTCAAACATGTTTAGAACGTGTATATGTAATATTTTATGCCATTCTGTACATATAATGTTCGAAATGTCTGCCTACCACCTACCATTGCAGGCGCTTCCGAGTAGCTTACCGTCTCTGTCCTGCTTTCTCCCTCTACTAGACGCGGGCAACCCGCTTATGTCTCATAGCGATGGTATTACCGCGCCCAGCAGCCCGCTTGCGTCCAAGTGATCGTCGAAAGTAAAGTGGAAGATTTGATGGTTCATATTATGTTTGCTATGGACTAGTATCATGCATTATTTTCAAAGTGTAATTGGTCCAGAAAATGTATTCACGGATCCAACCCTAACCTGCTGCCTCTTCAGCAAGTTTTGTATGAATTGACAAGGACAGCGCGTCATACAAGTCGTAAGTCACTTAGAACGCCAATTTTACCGACTTAATTGAATGGAACACGAGAAGTAATGCGAGGCTGGAACAACGAGGAGAAAAGAAAAAGAAAAGTGTATCCCTGTAAGTGCATCTTCCCAAAAAGAAAAAAAAGAAATGGGAAAATAAATGGGATAAGAAAAGGGGGAAAAGGACAAAAGCAACACTAGACTTGGTATATCATCCCTCGGACACTCTAAGTATAAGCTGTTTATATGTGACTGAAACAACGCCTGGGATAACTCCCCACGCTGACTTGTTCCGGTTCTGCTCTATTTTTTCTGCTCATGAGCGGGCCAGTGATGGCCCTGTGTCTGTCGGACCGCAGAGGCATGGGGGTTACCATTTCGGTCCTCGTCCGACTGGCTAGAGCTATCATCTCCAACAGCACCTGAGGCTGATGCACTGCGCAAGCGCTGGGCACGATCTTGGAGTACTTGGGCCTCCGCCGCTGCCCTCTGCGCTCGTATTTGCTTGCGCCACATACTTGCGTAGCGGCCTTTCATGGCTAGTAGTTGATCGTGGGTACCACTCTCCGCGACCTTGCCCTCATGTAAGACTAAGATGCGATCTGCAGTCGTGATGGTGCTTAGTCGATGAGCGATTACAAGCATGGTACGACCACGGGAAAGAGTGGACAAAGCTCCCTGGATATGCTCCTCGGTCTCTGTGTCCAACGCGGCTGTAGCTTCATCCAAAAGAATGATGCGCGGGTTTTTCAAGATAGTACGAGCAATAGCTACTCGTTGTTTCTCTCCTCCACTGAGTCGTAGACCACGTTCACCGACCTTGGTGTTATATTTATCAGGGAAGGACATGATCTTGTCGTGTATACTGGCAGCTTTGCAAGCCTCGTAGACGTCTTCGTCTGTCGCATTCTGGTTCGCATATTTCAGGTTGTACATCAATGTCTCGTTGAAGAGGACAGTATCCTGCGGCACAACGCCAATGTGCTTCCGGAGAGAATCAATGGTGGTGTTTTTCACATCGTGCCCGTCGACTAAAATACGGCCCCATTCGGAATTATAGAAACGGAAGAGTAAACGGAAAACGGTGGATTTGCCACCACCAGATTCACCAACCAAGGCTGTTGTCGTTCCCGGCTCGCAGCGGAAAGTAAGGCCGTTCAGGGCAGGCTTGCGGCTATCATATGAAAATTTGACGTTCTCAAAGGCAATATCACCTTTGCAGACTGGTAGGGGAGTAGCACTAGGCATATCGATAACCGTTGGTTGTTCTCTGAAAAGCTCTAGCAACCGCTCCGAGTTGATCAATGCCGATTGGATGGATCGGTAGAAGGTGCCGAAAAAGTTCAGAGGGCCCTGGAGTTGCGCCATATAAGTGAGAAGCGACACGAACTCACCAACGTCTCGTTGTCCCAGTGAGACCTGATATGCAGCAATAAAACAGGCAATTAGTAGTCCAAGCATAAAAACCGTATTCTGAGAGGTATTCATCAGATTCAAAGAGAACAGAACATGATATTCAGCCCGTTGGAAATCCGATACTGCTTCTCGGTACCTGTCAAACTCGTAGTCTTCGGCATTAAAGTACTTTACTGTTTCATAAGATACCATGGAGTCATTCCTAAAGGTTACCGGGTTAGCAAATCCAATGTAACGGAACATAAACACCACGAAACTTACTTGACTGCATCTTCTTGTCTTGAGGCATTGACCATTTGCCGCCGGATCTCAGCTCTCCATTGTGCCATGCGGACAGTGACATAAAGGTAACAGAAAGTGACAATGGTGACGACCAAAGCGTAGTAAGCATCAAGCGCAATGAGGAAGTAGACAATGGCCACACAAAGATCGACTAACATGGGCACGACCTGAAAAGTGACTTGTTCGAGGAAGGTATTGATAGAGCTACCTTTGCTCAGCGCAGACAATACTTCGCCGGTCTTCTTACCCAGGTGGAAATCAAGGCTAAGACTGTGCACATGCTCGAAAGCCGCAGTCGAAAGCTCCATGTAAGAATATTGGCTCACAGGAATCCAAAGACTGGAACGCAATGAACCGATCAGGCCCTGGTTACCCTGCAACCACCGGAATAAAATATACAGGCAGATATCAAACCACGGTACATTAAAGCCATCGCCCGTTTTGGTCAATTTGCGGGTGATAACTCCAACTTGAAGAGGCACCAGGACATTGACAACGCGTTGCAAAACAATCAGGATGAAGCATATAACCACCACGATCTGCAGTCGACGGGACTTCGACGGCCAGAGATACGGAAAAAATAACGAATATCCGCTAAGATACTCCCACCAGCTAGTAGATGGGACAGTAGTTGGTCGAACCCATGCATCAGCAGGTTTAGTAGGCTGCTGGTTAGCTGGAGTTGAGCCATAAGCGTTCCCATTCTCTGCATGAGAAGGGTCCAATAACCCTGTGGTTTCAGAAGCGCCATTGGCATATGCTCTTGGTACTTTTCTGGAGCTTGAATGCATCCTAATGGAGCTGAACACGTAAAGTGCGACCAATGTACTAAGGATCAGCACTCTAACGCAGTTACAGGTAAGCTCTGTGATTTCCCACGAAGTCACGCCTTTCTGCAAACGACCCCCAGTCGGATCTCCTACAACTGGCTCATGATGGTTGCCAGCGTTGATCGAGGAAGAGATTCCCAATATAGCCAACTCAACGGGCACTGCTACCAGCCAAGGGACAAACTGCGCAAATGTCGGAGACGGATCTGTATCTAATAAAGAGACGAGGATAATCGAGTAGACAAAGAACGAACCCACAACGTAGATCTATAAAGCATTAAATGCTGCACTGATTATATTCCCCAATTGTTTCACGGCACTTACCACAACGGACTGTCCACACCACCATTGCTCCGATCTAGAGACTATAACATGTGTCACATTGACAGCTGCATCCCCAAGAATGGTCAAAAGTATACCCACAGATAACCACCTGAACAAAGATCTTGTATTCTGAGAGAATTTCTGGGGGTTTTTCATGACTGCCATCGTACTTCTTGACCGTTTGGGGAGTGGTCTCCCGCCTGGACCAGTCTGCGCCGCGGTAGGAGAATTATTAGCATTTTTGGCGGCAAGGACAGAATTGGCAACGAAGGCCGATATAAAGACCAGGAGGAGGAGTATTGGATAGCCAGTACGAAGGTACTCCAACAATTGGCGGGTTGTGTGGTGAGAGTCCATCTTGAACAGTCCTCCAGCAAGGGTCCAAAACAAAGCTCAGATCAAACCACCATAGGATATTTCCATGACACAACAATCGCACCTTCCCGTAAAGCCCGAGTGCAGCAAGGAATTGATGAAGTTGGACTCGACTCGGAAACGACTGAGTAATGAACAGCAGGCCCGAATCAGTAAATCGAAGGGCCGGGTTTGTAGTATTGCTGAAAGGGATCGGCAGACACGTGGGACGATATTTCACTCGTCTTGCTCTTTTGTTTATATTCTTCTTTTCGAGGTCTTGAGGCAGGTGAGCAAGAGGGGAAGAGGCAAAATAATCAAGGCTCTAAAAAAAGTTTTTTGAACTAACTACAAGAGAAGAGTATGCGTGGATTGACTAAAAGGTTATATGGGGGAACCAAAGTAAAACCCGGACGGAAAATTGAAACCCCAAGAATAACGGGAAAGAATTAAAGCGTATAGCAGAGAAGAAGAAAAGAAGACCGGAAGGGACCGAGATGAGTACGAGAGGAGGAAAGGAAAGAGGGAAAAAGAAAAAGAGAGAGAGAGAGAGAGAGAGGAGAGAAAAGAGAAAACAGAAAAGATACACGAGAGGAAATGATCGTTGGAAAGATACAAATAGTACTCGGACGGTCGAGGAAGAGTGACGGTGTGCAATGCGAATCTGAAGTCGAGAACTACCCAGAGTAGACTAGTTGGACCCAGAGTCCCAGAAAGCAGCTGAGCTTGGGTGGCTCCGGAGGCAAATTTGGGGGAAATGGCAAAGAGGCAAGGGAAAATCTAAAACAAATAAATAACAATAAAATAATTAATGGGGAAATAGGATAAGAAGAACCGAGGAACGAAAATTTCCCAAGGAATATCAAAACCTTCTGAACTAGCGGGCCATATTCCTTCTACTCTTTGAATTATTTTTCATGCGAATCGGAGGTTTTTTTTGCTTAATGTTCTTCTTTTCTTTTTCCCTATATGTACTTTGATATCATCTACAGCGTTACCTTACTGCGACGGAAAGAGATTGGACTAGTACGGAGTCGTACGGAGCCGTTTTCATCATATTTCCAACCCAGGTTATTTTCGGAACCGCGTCAATATTGACATGCTGACATACTCCCCTCCCTCCTGGCCACTGGCCATGAGCTGCCTCTATTGAATTTGAGGTGTTCGTGCCCAATGGTAACAGGGATTGGAATGAATGTCGGAAGGATTGGTTAAATGCATGAGGAAAAAAAGAAAAGAAAAGAAAAGAAAAGAAATAGCAAGGAAACTGAAAGATAAATAATAAACAATAATTTCCATGCATGATATCGCTGATCCCTCCTGAGCGGAGAAAGTGCCTGGGGGGAAAGTATTACACGGAGACCGAACACAAGCGAGAACTGAGATGCTGAAATATAAAGTTTTGGGAGCTCAACTGTTGGGTGATTTTCTATGAATATCTTAATGCTGCGGACATCCATCTAGATAGTTATCGTGTAACGTGATATGTACGAATATGTACAAGGAGCCACCCCTCGAGGGGATGTTGTAGTAAGATTGAAGATTACTAGGGGGGGAGAAAAAAAAAAAAAAAAGGCAGTTGGATAATTATGATTAATAGATGTGATTATTGCACAGTATGTAGGGATGTGTTCGTGACAGATCTCGATGGAGAAGGGGATGGATGGTGGCACAAATCGATCGCTGCGAGGATCAGGATTGGACTGTGGAAGCTGCATTGCATGGGTTCGAAGCAACCGGATCCATGTTCATTGGCCTCAGAATAGGTTAGTGCAAATCCTTGGTAAAAAAGGATAGATCATTTCTCCTTAGTTACTCGGTCCTTGACATTTCTTTTGAAGGGCTCATTCTTTTTGTTGCCTTTCTCGAAACCAAGGTATCGTCTTAACACCCTGCGTAGGTGGCTGAGAAATAGTTCAGTGCCAGGGGCAGTGTCATCTCATCTCACAATGGAATTTAGCTTGTTACACTTCTAATTAATATGATTATAAGTTATTATATTGTAGTATGATTAATCAGTGATGAGGAGGTCTTTTTAGACATGCGTATTTGTCTTTGGGCACACACCCATGTTCACTTAACCCTCATCAGGAACAAACTGACCAAGTGAACCATAATCAACGAGCAATTCATCACCAGACCATCCCCAAATGAGTGGAATGATGACCATGACTTGGGTCAGGAGTATGCGGGGGGAAACAATTCTTCAAGTCGAGGACTACCCTGCACCCCGAGTCGTCTTCCCGACGAGTCGCTTTAGTTTGTCCCACCTGAGGAGTCCCGAAGGTCCGGATGATCTAACACAAAAGTGTCGTTGGTATGTAAATATGTACGTACCTCCAACGTACACCGTATGTACGTAAAGTACATCTCAGATCCAGACATCTGACTGTGTGGCCTGATCTTAGTCAATTCATGTGAGACTGGTCTGAGACGTCTAGTAATGAGGAAGTAGTATATCATCGCCATTAATCGGCCTAATTATCCTGACGGTGGATACACTTTGTCTTCATCCAAGCCATCCACCATACAATAAATACATCCATACCACCATACATCACCATACAGTTAACTACTTCTAAATATGCAATGAACCCAGCTACTACTAGTAGTAGTATAATGCCTGCGTGTACATGTACGTCGCACACCGCTTTTAACATGCATACCGGCTCGTTGGATCCTTTCATGGAGACGTTTAACGGCATCCTGCCAGATGAATTCAACCAACAACTAGTTATGGATTGTACACATCACTCAGGTGTCAATTCAAATCTCTATTGTTCTAACTTTGTTATTGGATACATAACTCTTCGGATCCATCACCTGAACAGGTCTAGAGGTGGGAAGTGAGAAGAATTAATTAGTTCAGAAATATCATTAATAAAAAAATTTATAATACCTAGAAATTAAAAAAAACAAATCAACTTAAGATGAAAACAAGAAAAGGGCCGGTATGGTATGATACAATCGGGTTAATGGAACCAAAAAAAAGAAAAAGAAAAAAATACCTCGGACTAACCAAGATAACCTGTTGTTGTTGTTGTAGGAATGAAGTAAGGTCTGGAGTTTGCCTCGAGTTTGTTTCCTTTTCTATTTACATAGTACCTACTACTCTAGTGGAAACCTCCCCCCAAACTGGCGCTAAATCCGCACATCACGCGTCCTCGCCACTCTATTATTATTCGAGTGGTCACTAATTCTCCCTCACATTCCTCAGGTTTGCTGACTCCTGGTACTTGCTTGCTTCATGCACCTCACATGAATCAATCCAATTGCTTACTCCTGATTACTACCCAAGTTAGACCTCTAGTTAACTACTAGTACAAGTCAACGTTCTTACAGGAGCTGACTAATCCTCAGATGGGCTCCTAAGGCAGCCACCAATCTAATCAGTTAGTCAGTCACGAGCGCATCGCATCTCCAAAGAGTCTCCAACAGGGAGCTCCGCCTTCTAAAGCCCCCCCTCCTTTACTACCATTCCCCACCTCCACCAGCTCCCTTTTCTTGTTTGTTCGTCGCGGGAACTTTGTCAAACATGGACCTTCATCCCTTATCGGGTTAAGTCGTGATTGACTGACCTCTTGAGGATGTCCGATAGCTCTCGGTTGCCCACCCGAGGCAGTTCCTCCCCAGCTCCTCCCCCTCCTCCTCCACCTGCCCCCGTACAACAAAGCAAATATTCAAATCGCGCGGCCAGTGCTTTAGCAAGATTTGCCCAGCCCTTCTTTTCAGGGTCTCGACCTCCAAGTCCGCAGGCTTCAGGGGTTCGTGCAGACCTATCTGCCGGTCCTTGTTCTAATAGGCCCAAGTCCTTGTATAGTTTTCCCTTTTCAATTGCTCTTCTTTCTCGTCGCGCTTTCCGCCTTTCCCTTCCCGTATACCCTTTGCCTTACTCCAGCTTCATTTAGAATCTTTATTTAAACAGGTCGCACCTTCAATATTCAGCTTTCCACCTTGCCAACGAAGCTTGACAGCAATCTTCTAACAACCCTGCTAGACCGGGAGCGTCCCAAACGGTCACTCATAAGACCGGGATTCCGATTGCCGCTTTAGATATTTCTCCTCAACGGACACATGCAGTAGTCGGGGGTAAAGAGATCTTGAAGACCATCCGTGTCTCACCCGACCATTCTTCCGAAGAATTCAACCTTCGCAATGCTATCATCGGTTACTCCTCCACTCAGAATGATGGCAGTGGACTCTCCGCACGCTATAAGGACCAGCTGACAGTGCGGGATGTGAAATGGTCACATGGCAATTATGACACCATTATCGCCACTGCAGTGGCCAACGGCCGCATTGTTCTCTATGATCTACAACGCACTGGCCTGGAATACTGCCGGTTTCAGGGGCACAGCCGCCAAGTCCACAAATTAGCTTTCAATCCACATCGGCCGGCATGGCTTTTGTCTGGCAGTCAGGATTCCTCTATTCGAATGTGGGACCTACGCATGGCATCCGCAGTCAAGCCATGTTCGAGTAAGGAGTTGTATAATGGGAATAGTGATGCAGTTCGGGATATCAGGTGGTCTCCGAATGATGGGATGGCATTTGCAACCGCCACAGACAGTGGTGCAATACAGTTGTGGGATAACCGGAAAACTACCGCCCCCTTGCTAAGGATCACCGCTCATGACAAGCCATGCTTCTCAGTAGATTGGCATCCTGATGGCAAGCACATCGTCAGTGGTGGTACAGACAGGCATGTTAAAGTTTGGGATTTCTCTTCGTCAGCTGAACGTAGGCAGAAACCAACGTTCCAATTCCGGACACCCCAGGCCGTTGGGAACGTACGATGCGTCCGCCGTCCTGGAACAACGAATATGACACTTCCGGTGGTTGGCAGTCAATTCAGTTAGTAACGTCCTATGACAAAGAAGACCCACGGATACATCTCTGGGATCTTCGGCGCCCTCATATACCATTCCGAGAGTTTGATCGGTACGAGTCTCATGCTGCCGATTTGCTCTGGCATTCGAAAGATCTGTTGTGGACTGCTGGTGAGGCCGGTGTTTTCACCCAAACGGATATCCGATATGCCCCTCAGGTGGTAAATCAACGGCCAATGTGCTCCTTGGCCTGGAGCCCGAGTGGTGAGGTGCTAGCTTTTGTCCAGAAACGGTCCAGTCATAGTACTGTACGCCTCAGCACCACGGAGGTCGTGGGCCATCCTGAGGAAGAGAGCAATAGCGCAGATGCATTGAGTCAAAGCCCGGCAGACGACCTTCTTGACGAACCCTCATTTATCTCGGTTAGGCACCGACGTACTAAATCAAGCAGTGGCCGGGCGTCTAAGTCGCTGGGCAGCACTCCTCCAAGTGCTCCCGAATTCAATCCCGTTCTGTCGCTGGAGAAGGTGCTATCAAAGATCAAGCCTTCCGGACAATGCCAGCTAGGGGCAGTTGGAAGTATACCTGGAGCTACAATGGATCAAGGAACCTTTCGATACCTGGCACGCCATTATTCTCCTTTGCTTACAACCTCTAACAGCATACACTCAGATCTTCTACGATCACTGCTAGAATCATTAAGCCAGAACGCAGACTGTGCAGAAGATGCTTCATTAGTTAAGCTATCTCAAACATGGCGTATAGTAAAGTTCGCTGTCGTTCAAGAACTGCAACTTAGAGCGAAGGAGCAGCGGCAGGCTCCAGAAAAGAGCACCCGCGGCGTCAGAAAAAGATTGTCCGCGGAAGGGCAGAATTCTGAAAAGCCAAGAATCTTGGATGATGGAAAATCCGAAAAGGTGAAGAATCGGTTGTTCAAGGGTGTTATGGAGACGGAGGTGGCCAGGCAGCCTCTCGTTGATGTAGAAAATGCCTCGAACATGACAACCCCGCTAGCGCAGCCTTTGCCTGACTGCACTATTTTATCGTCAGATAGCTCTAACTCGCATATGGCATCTTTAGATGACCCTACGGATATCCAACCTCTTCCACCATCGCTTCTGAGCCCAAATCAAGGCACCATGAACTCGAATGATTGGTCTTCGATGTCCGATGTGGAGCCACGTATGCACCGCCAGTCGAATGCAAGCGAAGATACGCATTTTCCAGGCGAAAGCCTCCCATCTGACCCACTACCTGGGCTGGTGTCCCAAAGTCTTGAAGATGACCAAAGATCCGCTCCACGAGCAATTACCGGAAGAGGCGACTGGCGCGCTCGGAGTCACACAGAGACTTCAGAAGTAGATGAATACGACCAAAAGATGGAGGATAAAAAAGCAGCCATTCGTGATTATAAACAGTATCCCAAAAAGATTCTGTCGCTCGAATCTCACGTTGAATGTGTGAGGCCTCCGGGCTTCCGCCGCCGCGAGTCATCAGAAAGTCTTCCAATGTTCTCGGCATCTACAGGTAGCTCACACCCTTCCAAATCAATAGGCACATCATTATCGTCAGCGGCAAAACTGTATGACGTTTCTGAAAGTGAGAATGTCACGGAAGGCGCGGAAAGTGATGCCCCTCGAATACCATATTCCAGAACCAGAAGTGACTCAGTCATTGGCCCTGTTACCGTTCAGAACGAAGAGCGTCAGGCTAGTGAACCTTTTGTTGAGGGTGTTTCAGATTCTAATGTTCATCTCGAGCGACCCTCTAGCCCACTTCCCCTTGTGAAGGAATCCAGTCCTCTAGAGACTCCATACTTTGAGAAGAATGGCTGTCCAAGTGTTGTCTACACTGCCGCAGCAGATAATTCTGCTTGCAGGGCTACACATGTGATCGATGATGATCTCACAGGGCTCACTATCCCCATAAGCTCTGACGGAACGATGGATAAACCATGGAGCGCTGAAATTTTGCTCAAAGAAGCCATTAGGCATTATCATAGCAGTTCTTGTGTTGACGTTCAATCTGCTGCTCATCTTCTCCAGAAATTGCGCACTCTTTTCCAAGGCTATGAGGATATACTTCCTCGTGAGGAGTGTGAACTCATCTTCAAAACCTACAACGAACACCTTATACGTCAGTGCATGTACATTGAGGCGGCTGAGCTTCGACTTCTCTGCGTACCGGCGTACCCAGCAGTCTACGAGTATGCTCAAGTAGATACTACGATGAACGTGTTTTGTTTCACGTGTAAACGTCCATACGAGAACCCTTTGAATGACAATACGCGCTGTCATCGCTGCAACACGCCCCAGGAGCCATGTGCCATTTGCATGAGTGTTGACCCACCAGCCGAATGGGTAGCAGAGCAATCTGCACAGTCGAATCTGGAATTGGACTCCGAGACGACGTCGCATTTTCTGTCGTCATCTCGCTCCTCCATCAAGACAGAGCCGATCCCAACATCTGAGCTACGACGCCTAGATGAAACGTACGGGGATTCATACAATCCTTCAGGACCTAAAGGATCCGCACTTTGGACCTGGTGTCAAGGCTGTGGCCATGGAGGACATTTAGCTTGCATTAGTATGTGGTTGGACGACGCCTCTGTCAGTGAGGGTGGTTGCGCTACCCCTGGTTGCATGCATGACTGCGGCCCGGGACCCCGTCGTGAGCATAACCGCACCATTTTGCTCAAGGAATCCAAAAGACGAGATTCGGCTGGTAGAAAGGCTGGTGTAGGTTTTGTTAAACGTGACCCATGGACCAGAGGGGAAAGCAAAGCTGTTGAAAAGGTTCGAGGTATGCTAAGTATCGGGACCTCCGGTGGCACAAGTGCTTCCACTACCAGCGCCGGGCCCAGCGTGTCCTCTAACTTGATGTCGCCCAAAAAAGTACGACTTGTTACTCCTAGCGAGCAAGGGAAGCGAGGGGGAACCTCGTCTCGAAGCAGTCTTGGTGGTGGCAGTGGGCTAAGCACATAACATTGGACTCTCTATCTGAAGACAACTGTGAAGGCTCTGGATTGCAAGTACAATAATTTGCTACTACATACCGTTATTCACTACACTTTTCCCGAATGGAGCGGTTATAAGTCCTCAAGTTAGCGTTCAATATGATACCATGAAATAACAATCGTGATATTTATCCAATTGCAAGTCATTTATGCCATATCACACCCCAAAGATACGATCGATATAATCTATCTTGCGAAATTATGCTAACCCATATATCTGTAGTATATTGCAGTGTTGTCAATAACTCAATCCCCGGGCATTGCCAAATCTGCCCGTAATAAACAGCCGCGTAATGCAACAGATGCCCTCAAATGTACATTAGTTCGTGATTGGTTCACGCAACAGCCTGTTGGAATGTGAAATAAAGAGCTCAGAATTTCCGCTTCTTCTTAGCTGGGGCTTTGCTCTTCGCCTCCAGCTGTCTCTTCAACTCTTCGCGCTTCCTATCCGCTCTTTCTTGGCATTCCTCTCTCTCTGACTGTTCAGTTGTCTTTGGCTGTCGACGTTCAGCCGATGGAGATTTTGGTGGCTCAGAACTGTGTTTCGCTATCTCCCTAGATAAATTATCGTTGCTCTCCTCTGCTTGACGCATCAAAGTAGTGGTCGCATCGGTTTTAGAGGATTTGCCTCCGATAACACCGAGTTTACCGACTCTCTTTGTTCTAGTCTCTATCGAAGGAGATGTTGCGGGAAGTGGCTGGTGTGTTGTACTTGGAGATTCTATCAACGATGGAGATTGAGGCTCACTTGGGGCGGCCTGCCGAAGTTTCTTTTTACCGCCGATGACTCCTAATCCCCGCAGCTTACTCTGCGCTTTCTCTGATAACTCTGGTTTAGGCTTCATTGGTGACGTTGATGCTAAAGCCACATTTTCATGATCAGACTCTGAATCTGTCTGGTCATCAAGTATTTGTGGTGCGAGCGTAGACGGGGCTGCTGGAGGTGAGGGCTGGGGCGCTTTTGTTTGTTTTTTCCCACCGATGACCCCCAGGCTTTTTGATAGGTTTGCAGAACTTTTCTGCCTTTGCGGAGGCGATGGTTCCTTTAGAGGGATTTTTCCAAGGTCTTCATCCTGCCTAGGGTTGATGGGCTTTTTCTCGCCGCTCTTGGGTTGCTTCAATCTTGGGGGTGTTTCCTGCCGCTGAAGAGAATTTTAACTGCGGTACTCCTGATTTTGAAGGATGCACTTACTTCAAACTCGTCATCCTCAGTTTCAGTAGCCGTGTCAGTATCAGCCTCCAGCACATCTTTAGGAGGCTCGCATCCTTTTTTTGGTTCGCTCTCTTCTCGTATAGGGGCCGGGGTAGTCTTGGATACAGTAAGTTTCTCCCACCACATGTCTGGTGGTGGTTCAAGACCTCTTGATCGATTTGGGCCGCTAGGAGTGGAAGCCTCCGCCAGAATATTGGCGGCAAGCCCCGATGCAGAGGCTGACGCACTGACTTCCTCAAGCCAGGCTTTTTCATCGAAAGGCGCAACACCTTTTATATGTTTGGCGGCCTGCGCCAGCGTTGTTCCCTTCTGACCCGTCCGTAAGCCAGAGATACCAGGAAATATAGTACTCAAGTCAATGCCCACAGCTTCGATCTTATCGAAGAGCTTGGCGAGAATCCAGTCTTTCCTATGCAGCTGGTCTATGAAGGATCGCTGGTGCGACTCCCAGTCAGCTTCCGCCTTTATGAGGGGAAGAAGTAATTGATCGGTAGCAGCAGACTGTGGCTCCTTGATGAGATGTGCAGCCCACGTCAAAGGTTGAAGTGGAGCCGGCAGTTGGGTAGATGTAGTCAACTCCAGCGAGTCTCCTGAGCTATGATTCAGGGTTAGAGTGCTTCCCGGCTGGCTATGCAGTGCATCTTCTATCTTTTGCAGGAGTACTTCAAATTGTTCCGTGTCCTCGCTCGGATCGATTGTGGTGTCATTTTCATCAGCTCTTCTCAGGATGTCTTGGCGGTTCAGATGCTCAGACCAGATGTTGGTAAGATCGGTTATGTACAGCTCGTAGCCCTTTGATGTTGAGGAATATTTGAAAAGAAGAGGAGGTATTTCCCCTAGATTCGAGAGGCGTAATCTCTGCCACTTCACGGACATTTCCAAGCATTAAGTAAAGAAATTCTCAGTACTTTCCAAAGCGACCGTAGCTGTAGTTTTAAGATATACAAACATTCGTCGATTAGGCGGCAAAGCCGATAAGGCGGAACCATTACTGTTTTTTAATTTCCGCCGCCGCTCCACCTTTTCCTTGGCGGACCGCGCTCTCCAAAAAAAGCATCAGATCAAAGCCTCACGCTTTTGTTGACTTTAGGCTTCAACGCTCACAGCGGTCTTGCCGATCTCTGCCTTCCTTCTTTCATTGCCCTGTGCAGACGCGTCAGTTATGTCGTCGCGTTTTGCGGACAGATCGGGTTCGACGAAACGAAGCCGATCGCGATCTCCATCATCGCGTCAACCCCAGAAGCTCCCCCGCAGATACGATGAGAGGGACTACCAGAGCGATGGAAGAGGCCGACCGGAGCAGTCGCAGTCGAGGAATATGAAGGATCAGATGCGGTTAAATCAATTACAAGAAGACGAGCAAGTGCGCGAATGGGTAGCACAGGAGGACGTTTTCGTGCTTAAACAGGCCAAAAAGAAGGCGGAGATCCGTGTCAAAGAAGGCCGGGCGAAACCGATTGACTGGCTTACTGTTACCCTGCGATTTATCGACCCGACAAGGAACCCTCTCGATGATGAGATTGCGGACTCGGACCTGGATATCGTAGATCCGGATGGCGTTTTCGAAGGACTGTCTCAGAGTCAATTGCTGGACTTGGAGAAGGACATTGATACATTTCTGAGTTTGGAGGCAAATCCACAAAACAGGGATTATTGGAAGGTATGCCACATTGGGATCTGAGCTATATATAGTTATTGCTAACCAATCTGCACAGACTATGAGGATTATCTGTCGCGACCGCCAGAAAATTATTGCTCCTGAAGGGCGTGCGCTCAGCTCCGTCGCTGCGGATATAAATAGGCTTTTGAGCCCTAAAACTTACGAGCAACTTCAAACCCTTGAAGTACAGGTCAAGAAGAAGCTGGATTCTAACGAACCCATCGATACCGATTACTGGGAAGAACTACTGCGAAGTCTCACCGTCTGGAAAGCCCGCGCCAAACTGAAGAAGGTCTTTCAGGCCGTCATAGATGAACGTGTTCGAGGATTACGCCAACAACAGCGAGACGAAGCGGAATCGGTTCGAGCAAAGCTTGCGCCCCTGGCGCCAGTCATCCAGCTATCGACCGAGGACAAAACACAAGCTGGGTTGGATGAAGAATTCTGTGATCTTGATCCTGACCCGCTGCTCCAGGTTCGCCCGGAAGATAAGGTCTTGGAGGTAGTGGATGAGTCGAACTTTTTGGATCAGGTGGTAGGTCACAACGGCTCTTAAGCGGCACACACCATGAGCTAATGGAATCTTTTTAGGCTCGCGAGCGTCAAAAGGTTCTAAAGATGGGTTTTGTGCCTCTCCGCCAGAGGCAGGCAGAGAAATCATCTTCTGTTCCTGTGAACCAAACACCGAACTTGCCTGCGGCCACCGGCTCCTCTCGCTTTTCAGCTATACCAAATGAGGATTTCTCCCAGGCAACAAAGGCACTTTATGAGCGAGAGCTTGCGAGGGGAGTCAGTGAGAATGAAGAGATCTTCACAGGCGAAGAGTCCGTGAGTACGGGGTCCCAGCCTCAGTGGGCGAACAAATACCGGCCGCGCAAGCCACGGTACTTCAACAGGGTGCAAATGGGTTACGAATGGAATAAGTATAACCAGACCCATTATGACCATGATAACCCGCCACCAAAGGTGGTACAAGGCTACAAATTCAACATCTTCTACCCTGACCTCATCGATAAGACGAAAGCACCGACCTACCGTATTGAACGCGAGCACGGACGAAAGCGCGGCCAGTCGTTTGCAGCAGCCGGTGAAGAAGATACTTGTCTGATTCGATTCATGGCCGGGCCTCCTTACGAAGACATCGCATTTCGAATTGTTGATAAGGAGTGGGACTATAGTGCCAAGAGGGAAAGAGGCTTCAAGAGCACATTTGACAAGGTAGACGCGCCGACAGCTTTAGCCCCTGATTCGGACTTCGATTTGACTCTTCTGACACAATCAATAGGGTATTTTACAGCTGCATTTTCAATTCAAACGGGTGAGATTCCTCCTTTCTGCCGCACAAAGAATTTTACTCTAACATCGATGACAGGTCTACTACCGAAAGTAAAGCCAACAGACAAACCTCTACTCGCATCGACCTTGTTATATTTATATCTATCTCGACCAAATGGTGTATGGGCGCATACGGCTACAATAATTGTATTCTCGGGGTTTCAACTTAGGGCACTATCTCTTATCAACGTATTCATAACTGCTATGGCAGAGCGACCCACTGCCGGGTGATCTGGTTGGTCTGGAAGTATTAACCATCCGCTACAGTATTGGACCCAATTCGCTCAACCAACGCTAGAACGTATCATAGGTACTAGTATCATCGGACATATAGCGTAAGGTACATAACCTCCATGAGGTTTAAGCTTCCTGACTCGCAGGTGATGGCTCCCACGTGTGTGCAACCGTGGACTAGGGCTTATTTCCACCACCATCAACGCTCCAGCACTGGCTTCTTGCTGTGGGCTTTTGCCATCCAGCGTCACGCGATTCTCGTCCCATCATTTTTTTGAGCAGCGGGTCACGTGTCGCTAGGGAACGGAACGCCTTCTCCCCCACACGTACGTGCGGCCACTCAGATCTGAATTGCCGTCTTTCTAGTTTGGCCTTCGGCGAATGAAAGAAACCTCTGCAACGATGCGGCTTTGGTGCCACCTAAGCCACCCGCATATCGTTTCAATGGTTCCGGCTGGTCGGGGAAAGCGGGAAAGGGCCTGAGTGTCTGCAGGCTACATTCCCAGAGCATTGAGAGCTTCCGGGAGAGTTGCCAGAACGTCTCTTCCAGAAAGGCTTCCACCTAGCCTGGCGTACTGTGGCCAATATGCAGAGAAGAGTCAGTTCTCATGCAGCTGCCCGGTCCCACAACCCACTCTTGCCCTGGTCTGTCAGGCATTGTAAATCAGGAAGTACGTACATCGCCATCATCTGTAGCACCGAAAATCCAGCCTCTACTAGACTCTGCAAAGCCATTGGTTCTGCATGTAGAATGACTTGTTGTTCCACTGCTTGGGAAGCCCTTAGAACGAAGCACCACTACACCACCACCACCACCACCTCCATCCACAACATCCCCAGTGCACATGTTGACTGGGGAGCTCCTTGGCTGGCACTTTTCCCCTTATTTCTTGGTCTTTATTATCCAATATTATTTATTTATTCTTCTTTCTCTCCCCAGACCGTCTTTTGTTTGTTGGGACTGGCGGAGACACATACAAACAGCAGACAGACCATCAGGGCGTATGTATGAGCTGGCATTTCTTCTGGCATCACAGCTTCAGTTATGCACTTCTTCTGAATGGTCAGAAGTCTTTATCTGTCGCTTTCGGTCTTTTTTCTTTTTCTTTTTTTTTTCCCCTTTAGCCTCCCTCGTTAACTTCACATCTTCCAGGGCTACCCTTTTTCAACTTGTTGACATCCGTCTCCCTGGCATGGCTTGTACCCATTAGAAACTTATAATATCTATAATATTTCCTTCTTTCGTGAACTATCCCCTCGGATGCAAATATAGCCAGTTTAGATTGTGTCTTCCGTGATTGATATTAATTTGTTTGTTTGCAAGACAGCATGGATCGTCTCTTGGTGCCTCAGGACCTATGCGTTGACTCAACACCTTCACCCCAGGAAACTACACTACAATACACCCTGAAACGAACAGAGACGACTGCCTTCTCACACACAGTCATCGATGGCGTACCTTTGGGTGACCTTCGCCACCACTATCCCTGTCAAGCAGTTGAACACTGGGTGAGGTCCGGGCGCGGCAGTCCAACATCGATGATGCCTTGTCAAAACCCATGGGCCATGGAAACCTCAGCCTTCACGCTGCCATCATCTCACTCATCTACACCATCAATGCCTGATGGTCTTCCACGTTTCTTTCTTTCCTGCGACAGCGACTGGCCATCATCTTCAATGACGTCGGGTCCGACCCCAGGGCAATTAAGGCCGGGGCTGTCTCGTACCGATGATAGCAGGACATGCTCTGAGTGGATGCGGGAATCAGGCAAAGATGTTTCTTATGCTTCGAAGCCTGATCGCTATACAGCACCACCTGAAGCCTTTGGGCCGTATCAACGCCCATCTGGCATTCTTACAACGACCTACCCTATCGCAGCTCTAACGCCCCCGTCACCGGCCTTCTCGGCCTCGTCGTGCCAGATGAGCTCTCCTGTACTCAAATCCGAACCTGTCCGCGTTGATACACGAGCAACACCAGCTAACGCAGAGGAGGATGCGAGCATAGACCCGCCCTACTCCACACTTATTTACAAAGCGCTCCGTGGCGCACCCGGTAAGAAACTGTCTCTTCAGGAGATTTACGGCTGGTTCGAAGAGAATACCACAAAAGGAAAGGATCGCAGTTCCAAAGGGTGGCAAAACAGCATTCGACACAACTTATCCATGAACGCGGTATGTCTATTCCACAAGTTGATGCTTCTGTTTTTGTTCTCCTCCGCTAAGAAGCCAAATCTGCTATAGGGGTTTGAGGCTGTTCGAGTGGAGAAAGCACCGGGCAAGAAAGCCCTGAATTACTGGCGTCTGACAGATGAGGCAATAACCCACGGTATCCAGTCTACAACCCGGTATAGAAAACAGGCGAATTATAAAAAAACAGTGGGATCAGACCCACCAGCTCCTCAACGCCAACGATCCGGAGCGAAGGGAGGGAAAGCCACGAAAATCACCGCTAAATTTCGCAGATTTATGAACCAGGATGAGCCACGGAAGGAACGGTACTATCAACGACTGGTGTCGCAGCGGCGAGCACACAAGATCCCTCACAGTCAACACCACCCGTCACCTGTGACGGCGGCGGTCGTCTCGCGATTTCATGCATCAGGCCCAGCAACACCACTGACTCGCACGTCAGCCGAACCTTTCG